TCTGAAATTTTTTGGAATCTCAGTCTGTGTTTTACAAAGGAATATCACCAGTGGTGCCTTGTCTCCTTCAGCAGTTTCTGCATGATTAATTAACAACATCGTTAGAGTAGTGGTGCATTTTGATATGGGTGTTAAGTCTTTGCACCTAGGGTACAATTTTGTTGGGGTGATAAAAGCACTCCCAATAATAATAATAATAAAAAAAAAATCTTCTGGCTTCATAATTGTCCAGAACACATTTTAGGATGATTTCAAAGTTGCCATGATGTTTTTTAGATCGAAGATTATTATATAACTAATCAATATTTTTTACTGAATTGAGATGACAGAGGACATAGTTGCTCCAGTTAAGATGATAACATAGGATCTTATCAAAACCCTGACTTAAAAAAAAGAAACCATTAATAAGTTCATATAAGACAATTTCTCATTCTAAAAAGAAAATGCAGCTCAAACTTAAATGAATTGCTTTAGTCAGTAACAAGTAATTAAATCAAATTTATCCAACTTAATTTACTAAGTTAATAAGTAGAAAACCAAAATAAATAAAGTTGGGAAAACTTGATTGAGATAATTGTTAAGAATTAAGGAAATTAATTTAAGTTGTAGTTGCATTTTCTTAGAGTGGTACGTTAATATCCTCATTAAAAATTATAGTGTCTTTGTATAAAAACACCCAATGAAAATCTGACAGCAGTCTAAAGCCTTCCAGAATTGTGTTTGGTTTATTATTTATGACACTTCAGTGGCTGAAAGTTGGTTGGGTGGGGAAAGTCTGCTTTGATCTTGGCCCCTCTACAGCCCTCAGATTCTGCCCTGAGAATCAACTAATATGCATTTACACCAAATGAAGACACTTAATTTGAAGAGATGTATCTAATAAATTTAAGATATTAACTTAATTTGACATTTCAACAGTCTCACTTCAAATTTCTGATCTATCTCTTTTAGTAATGTAATGATTTTAACTACAAAAAGTGAAATAAGTCATGAAAGTGAGGTAGAGCGCAGCCCTATACCGAGACCTCTGGTGTTTATTTGGCTTAGGCTTGGGACATTTCCTCAAAAAGGAAGTGAAAATATGCAAAGGCAAAGCTTCTGTTTTTTTCCATAAAAGACGAAAATTTAGGTTTCTGTGTCTGTCTTAGTCTTGTGATGATCTCCATGATGTCACCTCTTTAGGCTTCAGGTTCAATGAGACAGCGGTGCTTTCCACATAAGTCATGTCCGGAAGGGTTGTTACATTCATAAAACAAAAACTATTAGTGATTATTATCGCTTGAAAGATCAAGACAAGAAAAATGCAGCAAATTATTGATTTTCCCTTCTGTGAACCCTTTTCTCTTTGCCCTGTTTCTTTCTCCTTCCTTCTCTCCCTGTAAATAAAGCCAAGATATCTAAGGCATCGATTCCCCTCAGGTGTCCTTCCTGTCTCCCTCTTTCCCTCCTTATCCTTAGGAGTCAGAGAGCTTGGTGTAGCTTGCAGGCACAGGCTATGGCGGAGGTGAGAGAGAGGGCCTGAGATAACACTGAGGCAGAGTGGGTGCTGCAACACGATAGTTATAGTCCTCATGTAACATTCCAGTGACCTCCTCCTTGTTCTTGCTTTGTCTCTTGGTCCGCCTGCCTGTCTCTTTCAGAAACAAAAGACTTTGGTATAGGGGTAAACGCTTTCACATATTGTATTTGTAATCAATTTTTTTCTTGAAATGTATTTCTTTGTAACCTCTTAGGGAGACAATTTCAGTTCTCTGAAGATAGATTCTGTAAAGTTATTATGAGTCTTGTGATAGAGATATGTCATACTGTAATGAGTTTCAAGTAAACTGAATTAGGGCTGTTTGAATTTTTTTCTGAAGGCAAATCAAATAGAGCTTTGGATCTGGGAATGTTGTCAAATCCAAATTATTTGCAATTAAGCAAACCAATGAGATTTTCTAACTTTTGAAATGCTAATTATTGTAGCATTAAAAGCTGCAGAAATTTATCTCAATGTTATTCCTCCAAAATAGCAAATTATGCATTAGATGTTGTGCAGCACTTTGCCTGCCACCGATCTAATCAGGTATAAATGTGTTTACAGAACATTAATAGCTGCAACTTTAGATATGTTTTACCTCCACAGTTGGAATTCTAAATAACGAGGGGGCTCTCATTTTTTTTACAACAGGGAACTGGCTGTTAAACTCCCCAGAACCGATAAAACATTGGTAAACATTGGTGGAAAGATAACAGCTGATTTTGGCTATCTTAAAAAAATCTAAATGGAAATAAAGGTGTTCATAGAAACATACCCTTCTTCTCTTGTGAAACCGTAGGTGGTCAATCGTCGACAAATATTGTGTTTTGTACCTATGAACATAAATATGCTTTTGTTTTTTTATTGTTTTGTTGTTTTTTTATCGCAAAAGGAAGCAAAGTATTTTTGTCTTGCTAATTCTTAGGGAGATTTAAGACCAGTCACTTTTGGTCAACTTTAAATGGACTAGAGTTTGTTTCCCCCGTTTTTTGTTGGTCTTCTGTCCTGGGTGAATACACTTAAGTGAACCCTGATCTGCACCATATTACTGGATCGAGACAAGGAGTGGACACAAATGGAATATCAATGTATATCTCAAAATAATTAAATCCAATAATGGTAATAAGTCATTTAAACATTTTTTCAATATTTCAATATACATTACCTTCAATGATTAGAGCATTTGCCATGGACTGATGTTGTGGGTTTTATGTATTTTTATTGTTTGGTTGAATTTGAACTGGCCTCGATCGACCAAACTAGGAATCATACTCCCTTCTGGCCTTAACAAGCCAATGTGGGAGGGCTTGTAGCAACAGCCAAACTTATTAGTCATACCTTATTTTGCTTTACAATGCTGCATCAAGCCTTGATTCTTCCACTTGCAGCTTGCATTTACTGACAGCATTCCAAGATTAAAAAAAGAACCTTTGCCAAACTTACTCTTAATGAGTTGCTTTGGACATAATGGTTTTGCAGCACAATATGCTGAACAGGATTTCTATCAGAGTTTTCTCCATTTCTGAAGCTGTGCTTGCTCCTCTTTACTCAGTTCGGTGGTGGCAAAGTTTGTTAAAAATCTGGCTTTTTTTTAACAAGTTGTCATTCACTCCAAAAAGTACAATTGAAAGAAAGCCACACATAAAATCTTAAATGAATTCCACTTTTGTTCATGGGCAAGGAGGCCAACCAAAGGACACACTGTTGTGAATACACTATGAGACTTTTGGTACTTTGAGAATGTGTTCATTTTTCAATACAGTAATCACAACATAACATATTCTAATACAGGTGAGGAAACTAATCTCTGTGAACCACTCTTAAAAAACAGCCCAAGGTGATTATGTCCTTAAGGTCACTGCTTGATAAAATCAGGACAGAAACAACAGGCGATTCCCGTATCTACCCAAAAAATAAAGAAGGCTTAAAAGCAATAGAAATGGGTCTCTGTATGTGTTTGACCTGTGATCCAGAGGCTACCTTTGCACCGTATGGATCCAATTGAGACTGCCAGGAATCTGACAAAGTGTCAGTGGTCAGCCATGCCACAGGAAGTGATCGATTGTGGGCCTCAAGGGCACTGAGAGAGCTCTGTTTCTGTCTATTTCCTGCCACTGGAAGCTATTGGACACAGACTAGTGTCTTCTAGTAATTCTTTGTCCACTTCTAGCTCTATTTAATATATCTCTCTCAAGTAATGCCACATGTGGTTTAAAAATTGTTTACTACCACATTGTTGTCTAGCTTAAACTGCCTGATTTTAAAAGCTACATATCTTAGCACTGATTCTACTTAAGACAAAATAGTGTTACCGCAGTTTAGTGTAACACCTAAACTATCCCATACTTGTTTGGCTGTTTATTTATATTTAACTCCACCCTGACTCTCTTATGTTTACACCCTCTTCCTGGTAATATTCCACTCATAGAGAGCTTAAATGTGTAGTGTGATAGGCCGGGTATGTAGAGGGATACTTCAGCTGAGCGATAGTGAACTAATGATTTTAAATTGTACTAAAGTAAAACCTCATACATCAAATGCCACTCAAAAACCTTCTATAAGTAAAAGCATTTAATTATATGTCTCTATGAGATTTACAATTATAGACCAAAGTTTTATTGTTTTCTTTTTCTTTTTTTTCACAGTAGCTCAAGCTCAGTCTGATATTATAAGAAATATCTATTAAAATAAATGTTCAAGTTTTGCCAGGGATAGTCATTTGGATTTTTTCTGGACTCAAGTTGTGCTATGTGAACATGCTTTGCTCTAAACCATCCTTTTGTGACTTTAACTTTATGTTTAGTGCCATTGTTCTCTGGTAGGTGAACCTTAACCCCCCTCACACGTATCCTGGATCTGTAAACGTTTTTTTTTTTTAAGGGATTCACCTTTATTTAGTTATCAGTCTTCTTATCAAATCTGATCAACTGCCTTCAGAAGAAAAGCATCCCCACAGAATAATGCTCCTAGGACCAATATCTTCAGAGGTCCAAGATTTTTTTTTCTGAATCTGAACAAAGCAACACATCTTGTCAGTCTCTAACATATCTTTCTACATTGCAGTCCAGTCCTGACCAGTCTGGTATGTTCCTTTTTCTTTATGGAGATGTTCACTTATGTTCTTGGGCAAACCAGTAACACCCTCTCAATTTATTTTGAGGAAATATATTTTATATCATAATCTCCCTTATTGATTGACTGCCCTTTTGTGATATCCTAAAACAAGAAATCCTAATAAAATTGACTTTTTAGTTTGGGTATTTTTTGAGTTATATGAATACATCTGCAAGGCACTATAATAACTAGTTTTCCTGGATGCACCTTTCCTTTCCCCAGTTCACATATTGCCCAGACTCCCAGAAGACCTTCATTGTTGAGGGCTATTGGGGGTGCAGGGTGTTTCTCATACCTTTCTCCCTCCTCCAGCCCTTCTCTCCCCCATTCCCCTACTCATCCATCCTCCCATCCCCTTGGGACTTACCTGTCTGTTGCGTTCATCCATAATCCGCGTGATCTGAATCTTTTTCCTCCCCATCGTCCCCGTCTCTTTCTTTTTCTTCTCTTTCTGAATAACTCAAAGCTTTCCTCTTCTCTCTCTGTGTCTCTTTCTCTTCTTTTCACTTCTCTTTCTCTTCACTCTTGCACTCCTGTTATCTCTTATCTGTCTTTTTTCTTCTTTCTATTTGTTCCAATCACCTCAAAGATTCCAGCATCTGTACCTGCAAGACAGACAGGGAGGGGCAAGCATGGAATAAGCATTGAATGAAATGAAATATGGCAAAATAGTGAGAGGGGAAAAAATATATAAAAGTACCATCACAGCAGCCACAAGGGAGAGTGAAGAAAGACAAAGAATCTGTCAACAATGTTGTGAGAAACACTGTGTTTTTCACTGTCGATATCATGCAAATCAGTTTTTTTTTTTGCTATTTTTTTATTCTGAGGCACCCACTATGAGAGAAGACAGCGCTGTCAGGATCTCGCCTCATTCTTTGACAATGTTTTGGATGTGCCACTAACTTAAATGCTCTAATCACCAACACTGTAACATTACCTCCACTGTGAGAAACACGTTTTGTTTCTTTCCCTTGAAACAGCACTGTATATTGACAGAGGAACTTGCCAGGTACATACTTTTACCGTTCTATGTGGAGCCCATAACCAAAAAGGCAGACGTGAGTTGCAGAATAAGATGCAGATTTTTAAACAGATCCTGTTTTTTCTCATCTTCATGCTAAACAAAGCCACAAGAAGGGTACAGAAAAATGTTTTTGTGAAAATTGTTTTAGGAACGAGCGGAACTTCAGCTTACACTTAATCCAGCTGGAGAAACTGCAAGTCAGACACCACCTGATTAATAGTAATTTTTTTTTTTTTTCCCAGTGAACAGCTGAGGGTGTAGAAACCCTCTCTCAGGTGGAGCCTTGCAGGTTTGTGTTCAAGAAAGCACCCACAAGGAAAAGAGGATCATGCTCCAAAAACTTTGAGCGGCTATCCATGTGCATTTATGTGCATGTGTGTGTATGAGTACATGTGTGTGTGTGCACTCTAGTATGAGCCTGGCTAAGCCCGAACTCTAGTGCATCTCTCTGGAGTACTAAAGTAGGCCAACCCAATCTATCTCGGGGAGGAGCAGAAGAACTGTTGTTGTGTTTTCTTTTGACAGTAGAGGTGATAACGTCCCTCGTTATGCAAATGAGCATCCCATTATTTAAGCTCAGTGCAATGCAGGGGAGCTGTCAGCGCCATCACATAAAAAAAAAAAATTCTTCCATCTACCCTGCCTTTTTTTCTCTACTTTCCCCTTCTTCTCTCTTCTCTCCTTTCTGAACCACATTTCCGGCACCTGGCAGCACAAGCATCAGACATTGATGTGGAAGACGACACCACTTCACCAAAAGACATGTCAGTCTCAGTCTCTCTCTCTATCACTCACTGTCTCTCTTTTCTCAAACACCCTTGCTCTTTTTCCTCACTCTCTTCTTTCTTTATGCATACATCCCAACATATATTCCTGAATCCATGTATTTAACCCCAATCCATGTACTTATAAGGTAGCCTGCCCAAAGATACACCAGAAAGATTCAAACCCGTTAGCTGTAGTGCAGGACCCTGCTATGCACTTGACCTTTTTGTGCTAGAGAGTAGGACATTGATAACGAAAGCTTGTAATGGAGACATCAAGGGATATTTTGACTCTTGGTGACAGACCAAGGCCTTTGGCAACAGGACAGGGCTGTGGATCCTTCAATGTGCAACAGAAAAGGCCCAGTTGTGAAGGGACTTTATAATGAGGATTTTACTTTAGCTAGGAATGCAACAGTATAAATGGGATGAGTTGCAAATGGACCCAATAACAGTATTATGGTATGTCAATGCATTTGTTAGTATTAGGTATACTCATACCTCAGTATTAAGGTATATTGGGGTTTTAAAATGTTACAGATTCAAAAACATTAACTGCGCTGTTATGTTTTGTAACATTCTAAAATTCATAACTCATACTTATACTAGTCCTAACATTTAAAATAGTTTTTAAATAAAGAGGGTCTCAAAGTACCCAGCTTTATGGAGCAGAAAGGGCTCTAGTATTGCCCCACCTCCAGCTGTTGTTGCACATTACAGGCTCACTGATATAAAAACTACTATCGTTTTGTACAGTTTAAAAAGTAATCAGATCAATCTTATTATTCAGCTTATAACAAAGACGGCTCAACAGATAATTTCGAATTTGGAAACATCCATTTTCCCATGATTGGCTCTGCTTTGAGATCAGCAGGTCTAATACTAAAAAATCAATTTTTCCTCCATTGCATGAATGCATGAAGACTAAAACTTGCCCGATTTTCAGTCTATTAACAAATCAACTAAAAGCAAGTGCTTATATTCACTTTTCTTTGCTCGATAAAAATGATGTGACTGTTAAGGACATTATTACTTAAATCCCATTATCATAATCTCATCTATCGATGCACCTGCCTCACCCTTTTTCATTTATATGTGTAATAATTAGTCAAAAAAAAAAAAAAAACTATCTGACACAACTACAATGGTTGGGTCGGACAACTAAATTAGTTGTTATCGGCCAGGAAAGGCCTGATCTCCATTACTTGTACCTTGTTACAATTGAGTCGCTCAATAAAAAGCAATATGGTAAGAAACTATTCAATTTATTCATTCAGTACACTTTTGCCCGAATAGATATCTAACCCAAATTAAGGGATATACATTTATTTGTTGTTGTAATTCATCCAAGATTTTTTTTTTTTTATGAAATGGTGTGGAAAACCTTTTCTTAACAATATAAAAAAAACAGAAAAAAAACGTGAGACAATGAAGTCTAAAGAATAATGAAATGATAGACAAAAAAAAAAAAAAAACTTTTAAAGATTTGGAATACACCCACCCGTTAAAGTATTTGAAATGCTTATTTGGCAGCTAGCACAACGATCAGACTGCACCATTATAATAATAACAGTAAGATCTTAAATAACACTATGGCAGCTCTAAAGAGGCTATCCAAAACATCTTAGCATTGCTCTGCACAAACACACCCATCCATAGACAGGAAAACAAAGAGCTGCCCTCTGGTACTCAACAAAAAAGGATGTTGTCAGACAAACTAGGATTACAAGCCAACACTAAGGCGCTTGGCACAAGACAGCCAGACAAGGATATCAATCAAGCCGGCGTACCTCAATCACACGCTGACAGCATCATCCCCTCCCAAGTCTTTGTACTCAACATTACCCAGCCTGGGCATCACTCCAAACAAGGGAGGCATTACCTCCATGATCCCTGCCTCCTGGCTTCCACCTCCTCCCTCTTGTTCCTCGTGCAGCTCACTAAGCAGAGCTGAACCTCTCAATGTCAACACCCGCTGGGGTAACACCTTAGGCCTTACGTAACGTTAACACTGAGATTAAGCCTGTGTCCTGAACATTTAATCCCTGATTCTGGCTCTCAGCATCAGCCAGCAATCCCCCGAGGTGAGGTTCTGCTGCCACTTAGCCTTGTATCGATGATTTCTCGGCTCAGCCAGCTTCCCCTACGCCTTTTCATGTATGCTTCGTCTACCTCCTCCTACACAACAGGACAACTTGTCCCCGCTCCCGATTTCTCTTGCCACAGCCCCCCCACCCCCACCACAACTTTACCTTACACCCGCCCCCGTCCCATATGAGAGCCAGACAGCTTCTGGTTAAGAAGTGAGCACCCACCTCCTCATCGGGCTCCTTTCCCTTCTTCTCTTCTATTGGATGGAGCATCATTTTACTTAACAGACTACCACTGACTCACTTTGCCTAATATAGCCTTATGACGCCAAAATAAGAAGAAAAAGCCGAAAGGGAACTGCAACAAACAAGTGATGCTTGTTGAACTCAATTAAGTTCCACAGGAATTTGGTCCTCATCTTTTGTGTTGCAAGCCTCTGACACAGAAATCTGGCCTAAAGTGGACCATTCAAGTTAGAAAAACCATTGAATTAAAATTTAAAAGCCTCTATTAATACTTTAAGCATTTTTGGAAATTTAAAAGCAAAGAAAGAATGGAAAACTGAGAATTAAAATATTTTTAAATACTCTTTTAAGTTCAATGTGCTTCCTTCCTTCTTGCCATTTCTGTAGCCTCTTTTACTAGACAGATCTGTCATAAACCCATAAAGATCAGCACCTTTATGAGCTGAGTAAAAATCAAGCAAAAAATCAAGTTGAACTCAGCAGTTATAATTGAAGTTTGTATACAGAATAGGAGTATCAAACATGTTCTATTGTAATGGGGGAACACAGTGACATAGAACATGTTCTTTCAATGGACTCTTAGCCAATCAAGTGGTTTAATCTGTTTCTGTGTATTTAAGCAAAACCTGTCCAATATGAGTTACCCTTAAGAAGTATTTGTCAACAATCTGCTCTGGCTCGAAAATATTTTCACATTAAATCCCAGAGCCAGCTTCAGCGCTACATCAGCTTTTTGAGCCAGGGAGAAGGTTCACTACTAAATAGGTCAGCCAACATGAGGCTATGACTACCTCACTTGGTGTCTCACATGCGTTAACGACATCTTGGTCCATTCATAAAACACACAGAGGTGGCAAATGGTGCCTACATCTCAGGTTTTAAGTGTTTGTGAAAAAGATGTGCTTTTTAACAAGCAAACCGGCTTTAAGAGCCTAATGTAGTGATTTCAAACAGTCTGTGCGACCAGTTGGCTGCTGGATATGCAGTAATAATACACGCAAACTTACACACATAATTTTTTGGCATTAAAAGCCATAGTCTGAATCAGACTAAAGGCAGAATGGACGCATAGACTTAAGTAAAGGGTAGTTTCTTTAGTAACAGTTTTTCTAGAAAAGCCACAAGCCAGTATCCTGCTGAGATCCACATCACTCCTCCTTTATGTAGAAGTTGAGGTTTTTGCCGTGCTTTCTAAAAAAAACTACAACACTTTTGTGCAAGTTACTAATACTTCTGTACAAGATATCAGCTACTTGACGAGATTCGTCGGTCAGAGGAAGCTTAAGGAGGGGTTTGGACTAAGGTTATTCCTATACTTCTAAAGGCCAGTGGAAGACAGTTGAAGAAGAGTTGTTGAGGTCAGAGAGCACAATAGCATCAAGCAAACAGGACAATGGTTGCTCCTCTGTTTGTTTAACGTCTTTTGGGTTTGAGTTGGAGAGGTGACAAAAAAAAGCAAGAAGAGTGTTGAAAGGAAA